CCCAGTCTGTATGTTTTTAAGACTGAGCTTTCATTGATCTCCCCTCCAGCTGACTGATCTGTATAGGCAGTGAAGATGGAGGTCGGGGGATAATTTGGTTCTGGGTGTCGAAGTCTTTAAGCACATTTAGGACTGAGTAAGCATCAGGAAGCACCAAATGATCAAATTAGCAAAGAGAAGGGATGGTTTGAGTGCGAAGCTGAAATACAGGGAGCCTGAATTTGTTTCCTTTCTTTGGCACAGGCTCCCTCTGTGAGATTGGACAAATCATTTTGACATTTAAATGCTTTCAAAACTCTGTCCCCGAGCCAGCTCACATCTGTAAAATTTGGGGCCTATAGCAGTCAAATATTTTGATTAGGGGAATAATATATGTGCTTAAATTGAATCACTCAGCAGCATATTGAAATAGAATTCCTCAGAAAGAGCAATATTCCTCTGCAAAATAATCTCTTGTGACAATTAGCCAAAGCCCCAGAACTGGAGTGTTTAAAACTAAATAGATCAAAATAGTAGAAAACACGCAGCAAGTGATCTCGATGAACAAAGTGGCAAGGTATCGCCTGGCCTTTTCCATCTCTTAGCAACATAATTCAGAATTTTGCTGCTTGTAGCCACAGTAACGTTTTCTTTTCATCAGCCCTCAGTTTTCTGGCCACACAAGAGAGTGCTTGTGTGAAAATCCCAGCAGAAGGAGTCTCCACCGAGTACAAACAAGGATACTGTCAGCAGCACCAGCATGTGTCTTTTCACAGTGTCCTGCTGGTTGCTTGTACCCGAATTGGATGGTTCTGCTCTGGCAGTGAGAGCACACTCCAGCTTTGATATTCCTTTGCTCCATCCCTGCAGGGGGCGAAGCTGCCAGGCAGTGATGGTGAGGTCCTGTTGTGGGATTGATACCATTAATTCATTGCAAATGGGTAATGCAGGTCTTGGGTTGGGAACTGGTATAAATTATTGCTAGCGTGATGTTGATTCAGACAGATGAGCGGTGGGAGCTGGAAGCTGGGACACACAGAGATTATATAAAAACTTGAAAGCCTGTAATGGCAGAGGAGTGAACCTGCTGATCGAGGAGCTCCCTTGCAGGTTTGTAACCTGGAACCACCTTCTGCAGGTGCCTTCATGGCGTGTCACATCCACGATGACACTTTGCTCTCCAGATCAAGTCCTGGCTCATGCCGAGTCCATGCGGTGGTGCCTGTGTTGGACCATGGAGTGGGTGTTAGAGCATGGCTTGCCATCCAGACAGTTACATCTCTGCCTGTGCTGCTCAGCTGACCAGCCCAAGTTAGCAGAGAATTTTATCATTTGGATAAATACCCACATCTCAATGCTGACTGCTACCCCCAGAGGTCCCCAGAACAACTCATCTCCTCTCTTCCAGATGATCCCAGCTCATTTCTTATATGCATTTTAAGGTGCAGGCCTCCTGACTGTCAGATGTGTTAACCCTTTGATTGAAGGCCTGTTTCTTCCCCTCTTGTCCACATATATCACTTGTTCTGCTGACTGAGTTGCTTTAACTTCTCCGCTCGACTGAACGGATCAGGCCAAGTGCCAACCCTTCCCTGCCAGGATTTCTGTGCTTAATGCTGAGATAAGACTAAAATCCCAGGTACTTTTTTTTTTTTTTTCTGCTGGTTTTAGTCATAAATAACTTTTCTTGACACTTTGCTTCAGTTCATGCCATGCTTTGTGTCAGACGCACTCCTCTCTAGAGAATTTAAGGAGGGTATTTCAAAGGAACCAGATGTTTAATCTTTCTTGTGGAGTTGGCTGCCACACAGAAGCTAACTGGAAATTGTGAGGTGTTTTGCACTTGAGAAAGCCTTACTGTCTTTCTAAATCAAGCTATCTAAGCTGTGTATTGGTTTAGCATCGTATAAACTAGAAGAAGAACAGACTTGCTGCGTGCCGTCACTCTATTTACTCTTTGCCAAGATAGGCCTTTCCTGGCAAAATGTCCTCAAGATGTTTATGAAATCCACAGAGAAAAATGGTCCTTTGAAATGGAAAAGGCCAAGGTTCATGTGCTGTAGACATCCTCTGTTGCACTAAGTTGCTTCCAGAGTTCTGAAGGGGTTTAGCTGCTGACGTGAAGACAAGCACCTCTTAGGATTTTTGAAAGTACCAAAATGCATGCTAATCACAGATGTTAAGCACATGCCTGCTTTGGGGAATCTCTCTTCATAACCACCTGCCTTTCTAGGCACCAAATGCCTACTTGATAGTCATCTCAATTCCTCAGCCATCCTGAAGGCATAGCAGCACAACCCTACCCCGTTAAGGTGCTGTGACAATAAACAGTCTGTATGAATGCTTCCCTCTGAATACTTTTCCATCTCTACTCTTCCTTGGGATGCTGTTGACCAGTTGCTGACTGATTTAGCTATGTTTTGCTTTACCCTGACTCCTCTCCCGGTCCCGTAAGTAGCATTCGTAGCAGTGGTGGCACAGATGCCAAGGTGGAAAACCCATAGCTCAATTTCCTAAGTGTCCTTAGGAAAAGATGGTGTTTCTTTTCCCCACTTGGCTCAAATGTTTAAGTGTCTGGTGGCATCACCTTTTTGAAGAAAGATGCAGGTCCACCCAGCCTGAGTTGGGCCCCAGGAATAACCATGAATAGTGGGAGGTGAAAGGAGATGTTTATGAAGAAGACGCAGTCTGAAACGTGAAAGACTAGTCAAAACCTGCTAAAAAAATTGTCTTTGTGTTCCTTTTGCTTCATTTTCTTCCTTGGATGCATATCAACAGATTACTGGGATGCAGTTTGGATGAAAAGTGTGTAAAGGAAAACTGACTTGTGTCTTTTAAATGCTTTCCAGGTCCTCAGCCTGAGATATAGCAAAAGGGGTCTTTATTTTTGGAGGGTGCTGAGCCCTATGCCCTCTGAATATCATCACCCTTTGGGTGCCTCAAATTTGGCACCCAGAATGGCAGTTCTCCCTGATGGTGTGCATTGCGGGATAATCTCTGTTCTACCCGCCTCCTCCCCAGACTTTCTGGTATTTCTCTGGCACAGGTATCCCCCGTGCCTCTGCCTAGTTGCTAACAGGGGTTGCGTTTCTTTCGCTGCCTCCCCATCCGAGGACAGTTGCCAATTCAGGTTTCAGTAGAAACTGCTGTGCCAGCTCTTTGATATTCAGAAGCTGTGGGGTTTTTATGTCTGTTCCCTGACCTAGCATGACTCTACTAATAATGGGAGAACTTCATTGCTGATATCTTGGCAGCCTAATATAGGAGGTCAGTCAGTAAATATAGTTACAATTTTCTTTGTCTCAGCAAAGACAGTAAGTCGAACACAATGTAAACAAGGTGGTTGGATCACTTCCCCCACCAGTAATATCTGCAGTTATGCAGGCAAATTTAATGGGCGTGATTAAATCTCCTGCTCCAGCTTGGCAGCTGATTAGCTGCAGGGGGCAGGCAGGAATTTCCTTTCTGTTCCAGGGCTGGACTCTTTCCAAGTCCTACTTCATGCTTGTGCCAAGGATCTCAAAGTGCTTTGCATTTTTAATTGCGCTTCTTCACGCCCCTGTGAAGAGTGGCAATGAGAGATAGCATGATCGGCAACAGGGCGGTGGGGAAACTGAGGCACGAGGAGGTGGCAGCCTGCTTGGGAGCAGAGAGGCAGTTGCCATTAGACGTGGTGAAAGGAGAGCTGAGCATCCCAGAAATCTTCTCCTGGGGTTTCTGTGGGTCTGCTGAACTTGTGCTTTTTTCTCAGTGGTCTGTGTCTTTAACGCACTAAAGTCTTGGTTGTCGGCAGGGTTAAAATGGTGCCTTTATGTGTATATTAGCATACAGTCACTGACTGGGGAAAATATATCTTTCTCCTCTGGAAATTTTAATCTCTTTATTTTTGTCTTTCATCACTCTATTCCTCTAATTTTTGAGCAGAACGGCCTGTATATGTGTTTCTTCTCTTTGTATGGAAAAGCACTTTGCTCTGAAATAGCCTCAGGTGTTGGCCGTGGCTGAGGCAGAGAACTGGTTCAGCTCCGTAAATGACATGCTGCTGTGTCCCTGCAGGGCAAATTAGTGAATTTACTGTGTGGATTCACCTTCAGTGGGTGTACACTGAGGTAGCTACACTGACTTTGTTTTCTTTACCTGGATGTACAGCTGAAGAGCTGGCCCTGCGACATCAAGGCAGAGGAAATACTCTCTGTACTAAGGCATGCTTTGGACCAAAGAACAGACCGTAGATGTCCTGACAAAACTGTCCCGTATTAACCTACCTCACCTGCATATTGCTAACACTGTGGCTGATGAAACACGGAGAACAGCAAGGATTAGCTGAGTCTTCACTCTCTTTCTCAGGATGGTGGGAATGCGCCTTTCCCAGCGTAGCTAAAGCCTAAAGGCCAATGGGGAACAGTGTATTTTAGATCTCACTGGGTGGGGAGGGTTTCTTACAGGTGAAGTTTCTTACTTGTGTGGTGGATAATTTAAGCTTTATGGTTTCACATGCACAGCATCCTCCAGGGGCTGGTTTTGTGAATCCAGAGTGGACAGAAATGTCTGATGTGCAGTATTGAGCCAGCAATTTGATGGCTGCAGAGAGGCAGTGGTTCAGGCGTGCCCGATAGTCCCCGTTGATATGTGGCGTCCTGCTCTCATGGTAGGAGCAGAGGTGTCTAGCTGAAGAGCTGTGAAACTTGGGGCTGAGGCCAAAGCCTGGCTTACTAGGCATTTCTGTTTCTAAGATGTGTGTCTAAATAAGATGTCTTAGTCTGATCCTTAGCCTAGTCTCAAAGCTTAATTGTAAATAAACAATATCTTAATTGCTTTATAGTTTCCAGCGTTCTTTCATTCAATGTCTCTGTGCTGGCATTTGGAGAGCATTCATCATAGTGGTAAATGAGTGTGTGTTTGGTCTGCACATGGTATAATTAAGTATCAGCTGAGCCCATAGCATAATGTGATAATTCTCATTCTGACCATCTGAAATAAATCACTCTAACAACCGTGTTCTTCTTACTCCTCTCTTTCAGTTCCCAAGAAGCTTCTGCATGAAACCCAGCCAAGACCAACCAATTACCAAGGATTTCAGAAGCCACATTTTCCACTGAGGCCAAGAGTGTTTGATCCCAATGTTATAGAGGACGGCGTGTTCCTTTCTGATGTCTCTCCTTCCAACATAGGGCGTGCTCTCCCAGGTAGCTATGGCTTTGTGACCTTGGCCCAAACCTAACTGCGCTGTGGTAACTGTTCCTTCTCTCTCCCCTTATCTGGGTCTCTGTATTGTTCCCAAACCCCATCCATGTCACAGTCAGAAAGAGAAGCTTCAAGGCATGACCAACGACGGACTAAAGTGAACCGTGAAGCTCACACCAGGTTTCTTGAAATAGCCGTCATGGCCATGCATGTCAAAACTCATCACAGAAAGACTTTGCAGACCTGTCTAATAGAGTGGCAAAGAAAAAACAGGGCAGACATGGTAGATCTGCCTCACAGGGGACAGAGAAGCTTTCAACCAAGCTTTGAAATATGATGCTATTGTCATAAAATGCAAAGTCAAGAGATATGAATGAAGTCAAATCCTAGCTATCTACAGGGATAGGTGAGTAGGAGGAAGGGATGCTGTATGAATAAAGGAGAGGCACAGGTGAACACGTATTGGGTTAGTCAGTGGTTTTGCATTGTGTTTCCCAACACGCAGGAGATGGTGTATGACATACTGCTCCTGAAATTCCCACCCTGTGCTCCCAGACATCCAGCTCCTGAGTGAGTATGGGCATTGTGGGTATTGTCTCTTTCTACACTCCTAGCAAAGTTAGTGCACAGCCTGGGTAATCAATCCACAGGTAACTAAGAGTCAGCAATAACATAAATGTCAGTTTGGAGGCCTTAATGAAAAATTGTCAGGGAAAAGAATTTTGAGTCAGCCTGAAACAAATTTTGTGATCCTGGTGATTCTTTTAAGCAAGAAAAAAATCCTGAACTCATTTTCATTCATCTAAACATTTCAATTCTACAAATGACACCTTTTGTTTAGTTTTCACATTGTTTATTCATTAATTTTTAAAATATGTACCACTTTTCAAACAAAGATGTCATTTTGAAATTAAGAGCTTAAAGAATGTTTCAAAAATAGCAAAAAGGAAATATTTGGACATTTCTGTAATCTCCCTTCCCATTTTATTTCTTTTATTAAAACTATTTGCTAAAGTCAGCCTGGGGTCATGAATAACCTCTCCTATGCTTAATTTGCGTTGTTGGGCAAATTTACTGCTAGCTGAAATAACTTTTCTCAAGTTTGGTGTAAAGTCACAGGGAAACAACTTGAGTGATTGGGAACAGCTAAGAAAGGGTGGTGGAGAGAAAACCAGTAGTAGGTGAGCTGATTAGGCATAGATATGTTCTTCAAAATTAGCAAGGAGGAAAGGAGATATCTTTTAGTATGATCCCAGAATGAATGGGAACTGCATAGTGTAGCAACACATGGCCCTTGTGAAATTGTGTTTGTTTGTTTTTTCCCTCCTGCGTAACCTCCATCATTTTCTGTGTTCCCTGTCTGTGCTTGTACAGTCCTGCAGATGACAAAACCAGTTCTGTGGTTTTGTGGTGCTCTTTGCCAGAGTATAGTGTATGCAGACGAGTATTCATTTAAAAACTTGTTTGATTGCATCTGTTCTTTAGACAAATCAGAAGTTAAAAAAAAATAAAATTCTTCTTACATCTCACATGAGAGGAGTTATGCCTTACTCTGTCTTCTAAATAAGCCATTATTGCCCAGCGTGGTTTACAAGGGATGCCCCATACCCAACAGAGGTGGTATCCATCTGAGCCTTTCCTGACTGATCTGGTGCACGCACATGGAAGCCCCCGCTGCAAGTATAATTTAAACCTTGGTCTTTGAGATGTCATGAATGTATCAACAGTGAGGGGCAGGTGGATTGTCGCTAACTCGGAACTGGACATGTGAGAGAGCATGGTGCAGAACCCCCAGGTTCTTATCCTGCCAGCTCGGTGCAGCTGCAGTCCAGCCACATTGACTAGACTTTAATGCAGAGTTGTAGAAAACTCTCAAAGACCTAACAGGAACCTGGAGGCACCTAACTCAGCAGTCCTCTTCACAATGAGATATATGGTTATGAAATATATATGAGATTATATCCTGGTGGTGCCCTTCCTTTTCATTGATTGTAAAGGGGTTTTAGATTAACTAGTTCAGAGCCAGACTCAGTAGACAGATATCTTGGGCAGGATTCAGTTACCCCCACATAAACATGTCATTTGAGATGACCTGGGGTGTTTACCTGGCTTCTAGATGCTGCCCTAGAAGGGTGAGTTTCCCCTACATCCTTTCTCATACCTGCCATCTCTCCATGGATGTCCTCCTGACCCTGGGGTTTCTTAGATGTCTGTGTATGAGCAAATACATAAGCTTCAAGTGTCTGCTCTGGGGAGAGCTGAATGACTCCAGGATCTGTCAACTAATAGCAGGATTCAGTTGCCCCAGTTTAGATGCATAGTGCTACTTGAGATGCTCTGAAGTATCCAGGACATCTTCAGGAGAAATGAAAAATTTACCCTGCTTCCATGGATTTCTTTGCAGGAACAGTGGTAGAGAAAAATCCAACCACTTGTACAGACATAGATTTACCAGACAGGGAGAAAAAATGAAAGATTAGAGGGCACGTTGGTATTTCTGGTGCCTACATCGGACTTAAAAGATTTTCCAAAGCTTTGCTATTCATTTCCTGCTGCATGTGCCCTGGTCCCTCTGTGCCCCAGTGCCTCCATTTGTACAACTGATCTTCAGTGATCTCCATTCTCCTAAGGCAAGAGGTTCTTGGGATATTTTCCCTTTTGGATTGGGGACTCAGGCACCCGTGTTGGAAAACTTTGCTTCAGGGCCAGTCATTAACACCTTGTTAGCTTGTAATGTGTGGCTTTCCCAAGGCCATGCAGCTGTTCAACATCAGAGGTGCAACTGTGCCCACGTTCCTTGGGGCTGATCCCTTACAGTGACACCTGGACATCACTCCCCTCTGCTTCCCCTCCGAGGCAGATTAGGAGTTGGCATCACTGCATGCATGTTCATGCCCTCAGTCCCTCTCCATCCTGTATTACCTGTTCTTTTTGACACCCCTCAATTTCTGTTACTGCTTCCTTGGGCTGAGCTGCTTCCTAGCACGCACAGCGAGAAGCAGAACGTGAGGTCTCATGCTGGTGGGTTTGCAGGGAAAGGAGATGGATGGGACAGCCAGCAAACAGACTGTCTCACGTCGTGGCTGCTGTCAGAGTGCCTTTGCTTGCATGGCACTGACGGCATTACTGGAGAGGGACCCGATAGCTTCTTGAATTCAATACCTGCGGATAAGTTGCAGCCAGGTGCAAGTCTGTGATTTTTACGGTGTGCTGCTTGCTTTTGGACAGAACCAGACACCCAGGGAAAGGAGCCTGGAAAACTGTAATGACTACAGTTAAATAATGCCGTGGATGATGGAGCTGGATCCTGTGCACTGACTTTTTCGGCTGTTTAAAACACTTAGGGGTTTGTGACTGGTGGGGGTGTCTGCCCATAGATCAAGGTACAGGGAGCACTCAGCAGCGAGCTGATAAGGTCTGAAAGGGTCTCTTTAAGCCACCTAGAATTAGCTGCCTCTTTAGCCCCAGTCTTCAACAAATAAAATCAAATCATTAACCCATATTCACTCACCTATCCAAAGGGGAAATGGTGTCTGGGTGAAACACAATACAAGCAGGCTTCTGAAGGAAGTCGTAAACTCAGGTCTGCCCTTCCCCGAGAAGGCTGGAGTGAAAGCACGTCTGTTTGCCAGGTGTGGATGGATCACTACAGTGAGACACCGGCAGAGGGTTGCCGGCTCTGCCTGTGTTTTCTAGTCCTTATTACAAGCTTAGCTGAACCTACAGTTGATAAAGGCTCCTTTGATTTACATAAGAGAAAAGAAACCTGATTGTATATTTGCTGTAGTGTGGGTGGGTGTGTCTGAGTGGTGACATGAAAGAGCAGGAGTCGGGGGAGAGAAGATGCTGCCTGGGTGCAGACAGGGTATGTTCTCAGCTGAAGCGACCTGAGAAGGTTTAGTTGTCTCCCAGAAAGGGACAAATTTGGATGGATGGCTGTTGAGCGGCTCCAGATTTCTGAATGCAGATGCTGACACGGTGGGGATAGGGCAGGGCAGGGCTGGGGCACGTGCCTCATTCCTCATTCCCTTTCTGTTTCAAAGCAGAGAAGAAGAAAGGGAGATCGGCCAGCTTCTACCCTCTAGACAACACCCCCTTCCTGCTTCCCGTGGATGAGACACAACCGCTGGCGCCCGACAGCAGCATGGAGCCCGTGGGCGTTAGCACAGAGATGGCACTGCTCAGCAACATCCTAGCAGCGTATGCCTTTGTCACAGGTAGGTCTTACTGCTGCCATCCCTCTGGGGAAGCCCTTTGTAGACCCTCCATCGAGCCTACATTTCACAGACACCTAGGGTTCAACCTGCCTCTTTGAACTGTTTATATTTTTCATTCGTCTCTCAGCAAATTCTCCCTTGAAAGACCTGACCAGGGCAGCTCCAACAGACAGTATATAGCAGGGTTTATTGTGCTCTGCTTTCCCCTGGATTTGCTCTCATATGAAGTTAAATACAATGTAATCTTACATGTGGTATTATTCCTAATGCTCCGTTTTCCTGGAGATCAAAGCCTGGCTCATTAGGGAGGCAAGCTTGTTGTCCTGTAATTTGGAAAATAAGCAGCACTCAGATCATTACCCTGCTTAAGAGAATTTGGCTTATCTTCAGTAGAAGTGTGAAGATGAAGTAACTTGAGAGTCTGCTTAATTGTGTATTTAAATCTAGTTTAGAGTAAAATTTCCTTGGATCACAGTTTATCTTTCACCCACGTGTATCTTTCAAGTAGCAGGAGAGCAGTCTTCTAGTAAGATTCACTTTAAAAGTGGAAATAAAGATTGTGTGCCCTACTGAGTGCCTGGGGTCAGTACTATTGATAGCAAAAATTACAGCAGACAGGTGACATAGTGCAAATGATTCCCAGCCCACAACTGCATGAGGTACCATGCCAGCAGCAGGGATTCAGAGTTAGAGGAACTAACCCCAAAATAAGGAGGAGCATTGGCTGCATAGCATCAGATGCACTAATTCAGCGTATTTTAGGCCAATCTCTGCTGCTTTCCCCAGAAGGAGGGCCCCGATTTCTGCGTAACTAGCCTCCTGAGGCAGGACATGCTGTTTGTGGTCACTTTTTCTTATGGGATTGCAGGGTGTTCTCCATTTGTTTAATGAAAAGTTTTTATGCTTATTACCTTGCAATGGTTATTGCCGAGAAATATGACCTTGCTAGTAACATTAATGCGTTGCTCTTTTACTACATGCTGTTAATAATTCTGCGCACTGCGGTCAGTCGGCCCGTACCACTGTAATGCAATTATGCTATTCTGTAGCATTGAGGTCTATGTAACTAAAACTCCAATATTTCATGTGTTTTTCATGTCTGTGTGCCATTCAGTCTTGCTAATTCATTAAATACTAACACATTTTTGGTGCTATGTTCTTGCTCTTGCAAGTATTTGGATTTGAAACAACTAAGTTGGGCTTTGCATTTTGGAATCACTGAGTAGATTAGTAAGAGCGTTCCTGCACATTTAGTGGAGGGTCCTTCTAAAAGCACCATAAATGGTGAATCCAAAGTTCTGCCCTTCTACACATCTAATGGTGGCATCAGGTTCCATCTTTTCATGACATCATTTAGAAGCAGGAAGCTTAAGTGGAATTAGAAGTGTTCTTCACAAAAGATAGCTGGGTAGGATATATTTTTTCTTGCATGTGCTTCTCTAAGGAAAGATTAGAACAAGCAAACTTTAAAGGAGTGTTCTGTCTATCACACATCTGTCCCCTCTTACCTACAGCTGGCGTTTTTTGACATGCAAATGCCTGCATTCCCAACCTTACTATAAAATAAAATACTGTTAATATTATTTTCCCCATCTGAACAGTAATGGGCAGCAGAAGGTTGTAGGATTCATGGTCAGGGACAGTTGGGGCTAGGATTCAGGGCTGCTGCTGATGCCCCATGGACTTTGCTTCCGTTTACCACAGCAGGACTCTTTGACCCTGCATTCGTTTCGTAGGGCACAAGGCTTTGATTCATCCCCTTTCACAAGGTGTCAGTCTTGGCAGGAGCCTCTATATTTTACTGTAGCACAAATAATAAATAAGGCTGGCTTTAACTGTCTTGTTGCTGTGGGATTTGCTTGCAGTCTCATGATCTGGTCTCCTTGTGATGTGCTCACATACACTGGATGTCAAATAGTTAAAACTGAGGCCTCACGACTTTGGTTTCCAGTGATGAGTTCAGGAGCTGGTTGGTCATGTTTTCCAGTGCACATAACCATGGCTGTTAGATGAATTTTAGTCTCAATGATCATAGAATCATAGAATAGTTTGGGTTGGAAGGGACCTTTAAAGTGACCTAGTCCAACCCCACCCTGCAATGAGCAGGTACTTCTTCAACTAGATCAGGTTGCTCAGAGCCCCGTCCAACCTGACCTTGAATGTTTCCAGGGATGGGGCATCTACCACCTCTCTGGGCAACCTGGGCCAGTGTTTCACCACCCTCAGTGTAAAAAAATGTCTTCCTTATACCTAGTCTAAATCTTCCCTCTTTTAGTTTAAAGCCATTACCCCTTGTCCTATCACAACAGGCCCCGCTAAAAAGTTTGTCCCCATCTTTCCTGTAGGCCCCCTTTAAGTACTGAAAGGCTGCAATAAGGTGTCCCCGGAGCCTTCTCTTCTCCAGGCTGAACAACCCCAACTCTCTCAGCCTGTGATATATATGTTCAGTTCATTATTTTTAAAAAGTAATTGATGGCTGCCCTGTGTGTTGAAACAGCAGATGCCCTAAACCATCTTTATCTGCTGCATGTAATTTAGCCCTCTGCTTTTAGCGGAGAGGATGGATTTGGTATGATTTATTTTGTTATACATGAATATGGAGAGGTTTTAGATTATGAGTTCAAAGACAAGCTGTCTCAGAGGGCAAAAATATCATCTGCACAAAACTAGAGCACTGCAATGGCATCCCCCTTCATATTACAGATTTTGAGCAGCAGAACAGTTGGAAATTTTTGTGCTTGCTTGAGTTTGGGACCCTGAAGGCGGCTTAAGCCGCAGCAGCTGTTGATGTCTATAGAGGAACCATTATAGTGGCTCAGGAGAGGCAGGGTATTGTGCGACTGGGGAGGGCTGGTTCTGGTTCACACATCTTCCCACCACTCCTGACCACCAAAGGGAAACATTAGTTGAAGAACTTCTCTGTTTCATAACACTCAAAGTGTCCCTCAGGTAAACTCTGCAGACTGAAAGTGATGTATTCAGGGCTTTCCTGTGCTGATGAGTTGGCTCAAAACAGGACTTGGCAAGAAAAATATGTAAATAGTTGGGGGCAATGTATAAAGATGTTTTTTCTGTTGGGGCAGAGGGTAGTGTATACCCTCAGAGCCACTCCAGAAAAAAAGAAGCTACGGGCACTTGGTATTTCATGGGTAAATTGCATGCTTGAAAGGACGATCCACTCTACTATTCCTACCCCTTGGCAGTGGGATGTCTCTTACTGTGGGGAGCGCATCCACAAATCGCTGGTAGCCCTTCTGTGCTCAGTGGCGTTCACATTTTCTGCACAAAACGGTGAGTTTGGGTGTGCAGCTGCAGACAAAGAGACTGCAGGCTTGGTCACTTGCACTGTTGGCACACACAGAGTCTTGAAGTGCACAGAGAAGCGCTGATATTAGTGAAAGCCTCTGTGCGCAATTGCACCATCTTTTTGACTGATGTTCCCATGTAAAAGTTAGGAACATTCCTATTGAGGAGTGAGAATTCACAGCACAGCAGGAAGCAAAGCCTCTTGGCAGGAGTGTTGGTTTTCACCATCAAATCTGTTTGCAGCTATGATCGTGGTTAGGAGTATCAAAGCCAGTTAGGTGTTACTCTTGCCCCAGCTTCCAGAACCTTGAAAACAACATTTCTTCAGAAATAGGGTGGAGTGAACAATGTCAATGAGGAGCGAATTTATCAGCTCATCAAACAAATAAATATTATTTAGACTTCAGTCCTGCAACAGACTCAGGGATGCCCTTAATTTTAAAGCTGATTTTCTTTATAGAATTAGGTTTTTAATTGAATGCAATCTCTGCCTGCAAGCCTCAGATCTGTCATTTGTTGTGGACCAAAACCTGTCTGAGTGTTTGGAAAGACTTCACCAGTCTCAGTGACAGCTGGAGCTGTCTTTGCAGTCACAGTCTACCGGCAAGACCAGAACCATCCCTGGTGCATATATAAATATTAAACGTTCTAATTTTATCAGAGCACTTCCAGTGCCTTTCTTTGGATAGGGAACTTACTCCAGTTTTGTTGTTGCATTCAGGCTGAAGTAACTGGAGGGAAACCTCCACAAATCCCTGTTTTATTCTTCTTCCACAAGCAAAGCTTTGCTGCCAAGTTATTAACAAGGGGCTTCCAAAAAACAACCCGGGGGAGATCATTCCAACTTTTAGACTGCTTGGCCTGAGCCTTATTAATAAGGGGCTCCTGGAGAGCTTCCTCTGTTCTACCCGGGGATTTCGGCAGCCTGTGGGGCTGACTGTAAATTCCCTAGAAGATATTAGTCCTACTGTTTGCCTGGCCATGCTTAATGCTGAACCTTTTACTGGGGCCCTCGGAAATTTTCCTCCCCACTGAGGTTTCTGAATGCATGAAGCCATCACAGGAAGCCAGCAGCGCTAATGCCTAGATTGGTTTTTATTTATTGAAACAATTTATTATAATAGCAATAACAACCTTGGCCTGGGGCATTTCCTGGGGAATTAATGGCAGTCTGGGCTGATGCTCCCAGCAGATTGTTAGCCCTCAGGAAACAGGCTCCGTAATTGCTGCTGGTTTGGTTGGAAAAACAAAACAAAATGTGTTTCTAATTTTTGGCCAGTTTGAGCGCCTAGAAAATGGTGGCTTTTGTATAGAGGGTTATAAAGAGCATATATCTTTTGTCTGCATGGATTAAATTCAGGCTTGAATCAGTGACATTTTCATCAATGCTTTCAGTCCAGAAAGAGAAATACCAGGAAGGGGAAAGGTAACCCCAGCTAAAGGGATTGACAGCAACTGGATCCTGCTAAAAGTTTAGGAGAAAAACATAGCTCTGAGCTGTCACCCACAGCAGTGGAAGAAAAAGCTACAGTGGTCAAAATCTGTGTGTTGAAGGGCATAACAGGACACACACACATACACATGAATGCATATCAAAATTAGATTAAGTCCTGCTACTGATGTACATACACTTTTAAAGAGGTTGTTTTTCAAATATGAAGAGGGTTTTGAAGACCTCAGTGTTGGAATGATGAATCTGAGCCACCTTTGAGTTTTTGGAAGACGCTGGGCATCCATTTGCTAAAAAGGATGCCCCTTTTTAGTCTTGCAAGGAGAACGTGCAATGGGGGAGGCTCTCAAAGTCACTAATCAACTGTCAAGCCCTCAAATCTAGGCTATTGCTGACTTGGCTACTTCAACTGAGAAAAAGCAGACCCCGTGGTTTTTAGCTTAAGTTGCTCTCTCTGCTGTGAAAAAAAAGAGATGTTGCTGTGCAAGTGGGTTGTCCGTATGATAAATGCCAAGACTGCAGTTGAACGTCGGGTTACAGCTCAGTGAGGAAGTCCAGACAGTGTTGACAGAGTAGCTGTAGGAGCTCATAAATGCCACTGGAGCCCACAGATTCAATTACAGCCATTGTACTGCATGAAGGGCTATACATACAAGCACAAGCCGGGGATGAAAAATCATTGCTTAAGTAGCCATCAAGGTGCAGCTTGCTCATGGATACAGTAGCACAGAAAAAGGAGTGTGGAGGAGAAAGAAAAAGCAGGACATGGACAAAAACAGGGCAAGAGAAACCGCGTGTGTCTGCATCTCAGGCTCCAATCTAAGGGTTTATTTGAGTTGCTTTCAAAGAGTGAGCAGTGGAACTAATGCAACCAAATCAAGCCCATGTGCGTGCAGGAAAGCAGTGGTTGGGAAAGTGGCACCCTCTCAGCCAGCCAGAACAGAGGCAGACTGGACGAAATGTCTTCCCGGACAAACAGATCAGTGCTGCTCATTTGTTCTTCTCACACTCCAGCACTCTGGGTGTCCTCCTTAGGACTACTTGCAAAGAAAAAATTGCAATTACTGTCCCGACTTATACTGCACGTGGAGGTAAAAGCACTATTGGGTGGTGATTCTGCTTTTCCTGAGGTGTTTGAATCTCTGGAATTTAGGACACTTTACTGTTTGCACAGTACCCGATGGGCAGTAGCTTTGCTACTGCCAGGGCTGCAGTTTTAGTTCGAGTTCTGCCCCTTGAGTTTAGAGTTACCGCTAACTCATTGGAGCCAGGATTTCACTCGGCCAGATTGCTACAAGAGCCATGGGCACATCCTTCATACCTGCTCTGGTATCTTCTCTTTTACCTTTGGATTTTTGCTGTCTCATGCTTGTAAAAGTATCTTAGCTTAAAACTTCTGGTTTTGTTCTCACTTAACTTTCCAACTACTGCTCCATTTCTTTCCTCTTTCTTTCTTTCTTTCTTTCTTTTTTTTTTTTTTTGGACTTATTGAATGCATCTGGTGCAGTTTTCTCCTCTTTTTTTCTTTTTTTTTTTTGTATTTTCTTTTCAACGTGTTTTTCCCATGCCATCCACACCAACTACTAGCAACAGTCTCATGTTTTATTAGCCAAATTTCAGAATATCATGACATCTTTCTCCACCTTGGCTTGTCAGTCAACTTTGAGTTGTTTGGTTGGAGAGGAGTGACGAGCACAAAGGCATTTTGTCCCTGTAACTGTTCCACAAGCATGTCCAGGCATTGAACCACACATTGCCTTGAACCACGCACAAGTCAGTGTTTGGGCTCTGACCACAAAATCAGAGAATAATTTAGGCTGGAAGGGGCCTCCAGGGGTCACTTGGTCCAACCCCCTACTCAGAACATGGCTAACTTCAAATTTAGAGCCAGCTTTGAAGCTAGGCTAGGGTCCTGTCCTGTTGAGTTTTGAGTACCTCCAAATGGTTTCCAGTTCATCTTCTGCAAACTTTGCTTTAAGGAAATCAGCTGGAGAGGGCAGTTTCTAAAAGCACAGTGGGGGGAAGTGAATGTAGGGCAGAGCCTTTTAGTTACAGAGATCTTTCAGGGCCGAATATCAGGCTCTCAGCTGGTGGGAATTGTTAAAGCTCAGTCACTGAGCTCAAGGGAATAAGACTCATCTGAGGAACTGACTCCATCCTTGAACTCAGGACTCCCAACAGACACAGCAGAGTAGGGCTGGCCTTGACACTTCTTCTTGGTTCACCTTCACCCATTCAGTGATAAACTGAGATGATTCAGCCCAGGGGAACTGCAGTAATAACATTTATCATAATTACGCTTCTAAGTAGTCCCATGAACAACAACAACAACAAAAAGGTAGTAAATAAACGAGATGACCTAGTTTAAAAGGCACTGTGGATCCTTTGGAGTCGTGTTATATCACCTCTGAAATGTGGCTATGCAGGATTCATCCTGTCCGTGCCCTGACTCCAGCTATGCTTGTGTAGCACAGGCATACCTTTTGGTGGTCTGGGCGGAAAGCCAGCACACTTGCCTTAGATAAGTAAATGAAACCTATGAATAAATAATACACATTTTTTCATGCTGCAAGGCTTCCCTTTTCAGCTGGGCCACAGCGCAGAGAGCATGTAAAGCCTTGTGATCATCTTTATTCCTCGTACAATGATAATGGATGTGACAGAGAGATGCACTTAGCTGCTGCTGGGTGTGCAGCACCCTGGTGTCAACCCCGCTCGCGCAGCCACCGGGATTAGCATTTAATTCTGCGGGCTGCTCCTTCCACTTCCAGACAACTCCAAGACATGACTGCAGCAAACCCACATTCTGCATGTGGGCAAATGCCTTGGCAGCAAATCCACCATTTAAATTCCCCTTCCTGATTTCCCTGGGGGTTGGAGGCAAACAAGGGCATGGAATTAAAGCAACCATTAGAAACTCTGCCCCACCAGAGACCCTGGCTGGTATGTGAACCAAGGAGCTGTGTGGGTTTTGTTCTTTTAAGGGTTGTTCTTGATAACCATTTCATAGAATTATAGAATAGTTTGAGTTGGAAGGGACCTTTAAAGGTCATCTAGTCCAACCCCCCTGCAATGAGCAGGGACATCTTCAACTAGGTCAGGTTGCTCAGAGCCCTGTCCAACCTGACCTTGAATGTTTCCAGGGATGGGGCATCTACCCTGGACAACCTGTGCCAGTGTTTCACCACCCTCAGTGTAAAAAATGTCTTCCTTATACCTAGTCTAAATCTTCCCTCTTTTAGTTTAAAGCTATTACCCCTTGTCCTATCACAACAGGCCCCGCTAAAAAGTTTGTCCCCTTTCCCCTTTCAGAAAACCCCGAGCGGGCTGCTCTGTATTTCGTCTCTGGAGTGTGCATTGGACTTGTCTTGACCCTGCTTGCTCTGGTGCTAAGGGTGTCCTGCCGAACTGACTGCAAACGCTCCTCCGTCAAAAAACCCCCTCGGGAGCGGGAGAGCGACAGCGACAGCAGTGACAGCGACGACGATTCGGACACCACTTCGGACCTGTCGGCCCGCAGGCACCGCAGGTTCGAGAGGACTTTGAACATGAACGTCTTCACTTCGGCGGAGGAGCTAGAGCGAGCTCAGCGGCTGGAGGAGCGGGAACGCATCATCCGGGAGATCTGGATGAACGGCCAGCCGGACATCCCAGGGACCAGGAGCCTCAACCGTTACTACTAAGCGATGGGGAGTCCCACCGTCCTGCCCTGCACCCTGGGGCTCCTCCACACGCGATAGAGGAGAGAGAGGGAAGGAATTACGTGGGTGTCTCCCCTTTTCCTTTCAGGCGTGCTACCTGAAGCAGTGTGGATGGACAGCAATAAAGCTTTCCCCGTCTCCTTCTCCCTGACATATTGCTATCACCCCTCTTCATGGACACTTTCTGGTTACAACAGAGGTGGTTACCAACTTCATTTCTTAGTAGCAGGCAGGAAGATAACAGTCATAGTCCTCCCGTGTGGGACATGGAATTTGGCAGGCTGTGGTATGAGTGCTCCTCACTTGGCTGGGGAGAGAAGTTGTCCAGCTATCGGTGTGCATTTAGGATTTTTTTGGTTTCCCTTTCCTGAGGACTGTGGGAGAACTGTGAACAAAACAACAAATCTGGAAGGATGATTTGGGAAGGGAGGGGGAGGTGCATCCTGACTGATTGTCTTGTGACTTCAGAAGCCATGAGATTAACCTAATTAAAACCCAACGGCAAATATGACTTGTTAAGAACTGGGGGATTGGGGGGGAGGGGGATTCTTCCATCGTGAAATCATCTCGGTGCTTGGATGTTTGCCATAGTGTATTCAGTTATTTATGGCTGTCTTTTCATCTTCCTTTTCAATGGGAACATTATTTTTTTTTTACTGACACCTCAGGGATAAAATCCTATTATTTTTTTGAGTCTGTTCTCCCTGCTGGCTCCTGTCGAACACAACCCAACCCACCTCCAACAGTGAAATTATGGTAATATAAGAGATGTGTCAGTGACTGGTGAGAAGTTAACAACCTCAAAGAGGTTGAAAAGGGTTTTCTTTTGGTTTGTTTTAAATATATATATATATATTTGAAGATGCTGCACAGGAATGTGCCTTATTCTTTTTTTGTTGTTAAACTACAGTTTTCCTATGGATAGCAATGCACAATGTTTTATATATTTTATTAAAAAAATAAAAAAAAATAAAAGTTCTATGTTTACCAGAGGAAAATGGAGGCAGAAGAAGCCACATTTGACAACAGAATGGGTAATAAATGCCAAATAAACTCTGGTTTTCTTCAATACATTTGAATTTGCATCCTCAATTTTGGCATAGGTGTTGCTCAAGGGAGATGCTTTGGAAGAGCAGCACACCTTGCAGGCAATCAAGGCTGACGTCTTCTGCATGCAGGAACCTGGAGGCACTTTTTCCTTTGGCTGCAGCCCATCAGTCTACCTCTGTGTTGCACATGGGCAGGAGCAGCTGAGCAATGTGTTGGTTCTCAAGGGGCTATCCCAAAGCCTACCTGAATCAAGGGAAA